AAAAAAAAAAAAAAAAAAAAAAAGCATTGACCCATGTCACTTTTGTGTATTTCACTGTGCATAAAATTATATTTGAATAGAATTCATTAAAAAAGAAAAAAATATTTACTGCCTTGGAAACCCAAAGGGGGTTGCTATGAGTCGGAATTGACTCGGCAGTATTTCTTCCCTCCAGAGTCATTAATTATCTTTAAATATAATGGTGAGAACTTGAATGCCTTTAACAATTCCTGTTTAATCAGTCTGACTTCCATGCGGAAGCAAAATAATTGGGCTGTAGTTGGAATATGTGATTTCTGAGAACAGGCAGGAAATGCTGGCAGTGTTGTCTAGCACGAACTACCTACAGGATAGAGTATGAGTGGAGTCTAGAGAGCCCATTGTACTTCCAAGAGGGTCACAGGTGTTTACAGGGTCCCTCCTGTCTGGCTGCTGTTTTGATACCAATAGATCCTATTCTTTTTCTCCCCCTTTTCAGACACAGCTAATCAAAGTGCTACCACTCTTTCCAGGAGAGAGAAAGCCTAAGAGTTCTGTTACTCAGCGAAGTATTCCACCTGCAGGCATTCGGCAGACCAGCATTGCTTCCTTCTTCACCTTGAAGCCAGGTATGGTGAGCCACTGGGAACACTTCATTATCTGTGCACCAAAAAGAAGTGCATTTGGCCACACTGGAATATTTATGAGAAGTGGTGATAACACTGTTTTGCTGACCTACTGAAAGAAGTTACATGAAACACAAGAAATCACTTCTTCCCCCTTTAAAGAGTAGTGTATAGATACTATTACAAACATTCCTCTCTAATTCTGTTCTCAGTCTGACAGTATTTGTATTCCCTGACAGAGCAATGAGGACAGATGTACTTGGGGATTGGGTGAGTAGGGGGTGTTGACCTTCTGTAGTTCAGTACATTCTTGGGTTGGCCACAATGAGTAGTCTTTATAAGGCTAATTAAGACTTGACATTTCTATATGACACTTCTCACATCAGTCAAGGTTTAAAGATGCTTTTTTTTTTTTTTTTTTTCTCTCCCCGGTAGGAAGGCAGGCATAAAGCTGTCTTATCCTTTGGTAGTCCTTTGCTTATGTGTCCCTCTTCAGGGAAGCAGCTGCCTCAGAGCAGGCTGGGGCTAACAGGGCAGGATTCCTCTCAGGTGGAGGGATTGAGAGTCACTAGTTCTTCAGCTCTTGGTGTGATTCCCAGAATTGCTTTACATGAACCTTCAACGTGTACTTTTTCTTCCCTCAAACAAAAACAAAAACCTAAATGCCTTTTTGCTTTAAGTATCAAAGGCAGGTTTTTATTCAAATTCTTTCCTTCTCAAAATTGGTATGTTTTTTATAGTCTATATTGAATTCTTAGGCAAAGTAGAGAACCTTTTCACAAGTTTCTGCATTCTTATTGGAGAAGGAAAGAGGAAATCGGTCATTTAGCTCATGTATCTAAGAAAAAGAAGTAACAGAATTTTGAAAGTACAATTTGTATAATTTGAGGGGAGTAGAAATTCCATGTCATTCACCCATATTTTAAGGCAGATAGGATCCAATTTATGCCTGATAAAATGATTGTGCTGGGCACTAGTAGTTCTTTCATTGTTCTTCTTAGTGGGTGGCTAACTCAGCATCCTTATTTTGTCTTCACTCCATTTTTCATAAAATATTTTGGGCATGAGAAGCCTACATTCTGTCACCAGAAGGTTTCTCAGAGTCAATGTGATCTTTGAGACATTAATAGTATATGTGGAGCATACTCCAAGGACAATATCCAGGAATACACATTTGGCCAGGACCACTATTTAACAGAATCTACATTCAATAATAAAAGCAAAAATGATGGTGACTTGTGTTAAACAATCCCTGCATATGGAAATTCCCCTGAAAAAGTAGGTTGTAGTCTGATTGTATGCCATGTTTGACTTATGGGAAACATCCAAATATTTGAGTAGGGAAATTAGGAGGGAATAGAGAGATTGAAAACGGGAAGTTATTCAAAGAGTCTAAATAAAACCTCAATCCTAGGTAGTAACTGATGGAGATTTCAGAATAAGCCAACTAAATTTTCCTGTAGAATAACAGTGGTTCACTTTTCTTTTACTAGGAAATACCAGTGGTGGTGACCAGACAAGTGTCTCCTCTCGTAGACAAAGTCAGACTGACAAAGAGTCTAAGAAAGATGCAGCCCAGGTAGGGCATTTTCTCCAGGGCTTGCAGGATGACTGTATGGCATCCCCTTTAGGTACTTCTACCCCTGCAGACATCCAGGACACTGGACTTGCTCCTCAGTCCCTCCAGGATACTTGTGACCACCATAGAGTGGAAACCTCAGTTTTTACTGTGCTGTCTTTGCCTGACACCCCTGTCTGTACTAGAGCAAGTAGAGCTTCACTGGCTATTTCCTTCTCCCAGGACTTGGAAAGTTCTTGTTTGCTGGACCAAAAAGAACCTTCTAAGGATAAGGAATGGCTTCACAGATATAAGAAAAATAATGATTGGGATGTCAAGAGAGATGTGAAACTGCCTAGGGGCAAATGCCATAACCCCTTGGACAAGATTAAATTGGGAAGGAAGGTATCTGCCAAACAAAACAGGCAAGCCTCTCTCCTTCACACTTACAAGGATTCCTGGAGTGGAGAAAACGCAGTGTCACCGAAGCAAAGCCCTTGTCCTGTTCCTGTGTTTTCCTGGGATAGTGAAAGGAGAGACAAGGACTCGTGGAGTCAGCTGTTCACTGAAGATTCTCAAGGCCAACGGGTCATTGCCCATAACTCTAGAGCTCCTTTCCAAGATGTAACCAACTGGAATCAGAGTTTAGGGCAGTCTCATACCAGCCTTCAAGCTAAGTGCCAGGATGGGTCCACTCAGTTAAATCTGCAGCCTAATATGCTCTTTACCCAGGATTCTGAAGGTAATCAAGTTATCAGGCACCAATTCTGAATACCTTTGAGCGTTTGGTTCTAAAAGCACCTTGAAATGGCAGAGATGTAGGAAAGAATCTTGTGTCTGGGACAGTGGCACAAGATGAACAGTTACCATCATTGCGCATTTTCTTTGTGTAAATAAAGCAAATGGTATACTTGTTGAGAGAGTGTGATTTGGCATTATACCATTGCCTGGGGAAGAAAAAAAAATGTACCACCTTTAGTCAAATTACGATTCATAGCGACCCTATAGGACAGAGTAGAACTGCTCCATAGGATTTCTAAGGCTGTAAATATTTACAGAAGCAAATTGCCTCAACTTTCTCCTATGGAGCAGCTTGTGGGTTTGAACCACTGATCTTTGGGTTAGCAGCCACATACTTTAACCACTACATCACCAGAGCTCCTTCTGAGGAAGAAGATGGCTGGGAAATGACTACTGAGAAGGGCAGGGTAGGTACTTACTGTGCCCTAAAGAGCCTCTTACTGAGCCTAACTTTCCAGATGCCTGACTGGGACCCTTATGGATGTATTCTTTTACTTTCTGGTTATAATCTTACCCACTATACTTGGCGGCTGTTATTTCTGACATCTTTTAAATGATAAGGCAAATCTCCCTGACCTCCGTGTGCAGGTGAGGATAGAAGGATGGTGGGAGTTTTATTTATTTTGTATGGTAACTTTGCAGCATTTAAAATTTATACATATTTAAATCTCTCCTCAAAAAAGCCTTCACTATGTAAGAATTCCCAAGTGTATAATAGAGCTGACAAGGCACAAGGTTGTGGTCACTTCTTGGTCACCTGTGGGCTCGGGACCATAGTCACAGGGGACATCAAGCTCAATTGGCATAACATACTACACAAAACATTGTTACACCTCCTACTTTGGAGACTAGTGACTGGAATCTTAAAAGCTTGCAAGCAGCCATCTAGATGCCAATGATGGGTCTCTCCCTGTCCGGAGCAAAGAAGAATGAAGAAAACCAAAGACTCATGGAAACAATTAGTCCTAGCAACTGGTACACCATATGATCCGCAGCCTATATGACTATGAGACCAGAAGAGCTAGATGGTGCCCGGCTATCACTGTCAACCATTCAGGGAGATCCTCGATAGAGTTGGAAAACAATGTGGAACAAAACTCAGAATCTTTGGGGGGTGGGGAGAGGGGGGAGGGTTTGCTGGTCTGATAGAGCCTGGTAGAAGCACTGAGACTATGGCCCCTAGCTGCCCTTCAGGTCTGGAATTGAACCTACACCTATAGCTTCCAGCCAAACAAAGACAGGCATATGAGTTGAACATTTACCTGAGGTAGATACACTCCTTGGAGAGAACGATCATGGGAGAAAGAAGGGCTGTTTATGCACAGGGAGACAGCTCAGGGAGCAGTAGTGCATGGAGGGATGGACACAAGAGGTAACTCTCAGAAGTGGAAAGGGAGCTGTTGCAGTGTTGTAAATTGTAGTCAGTATCATGAGAAAGTATATGTGAACTGCTGTATGGAAAGTGAATTTGCTCTGTAAATTTTCACCCAAATCATAAGAAAAAGCCTTCACTATATACCAATCTAAATGTGACTATACTACTTGTCTTCACAATGTGGGAGGAAACCTCCTTTGTAAAACTTTGAATCAAAGTAAACTTTACAGAGCTGACTGATGGCAATTAAAACATTACCAATTTTATTTTTGAACAAGTAATTTTTAGTATATGTATGCGCTGTCATTCTCAGGTCAGGTATGAACCTAAGCCTAATTTGACCTGTGTTCTACTCAAGGCATTATCCACCAGGTGGCAGTTTCCCATAATACAGGTATGGTATCTAAAAGGCTCAAACAACCTCTAGAAGGTGAGCTTGCAAGATGTAAGAAAGAACTGCGAAGAGCATAGGGCACAATTGTTACAGAAGAGAAGAAACTCACCAGGGAAGTCTAAAGGGCAGGACTTTTTTAAAGAGGGGAAGCCAGGAGCCTGTTTAAGAAGGTTCATTTACCTTAAAATTAACAGGAATACCATACCCCTGACAGATACTGGGTGATCACAACTCAGATGGACAAGGCAAATGCATTCTCTCCAAATCCTTTAATGTCAGGTAGTGCTTGAACCCCAAAACACACAGGATACATACCGCAGAGAAAGGGACCTGAGGATGCGTGAGTCATGCAGTGATGTGGTAGGTACAAACCTTGGCCCAGCCCAAAGGAGCAGTCACAGGCCTAGAAGAAGGGTAGAGCATTCTTTTCCCTCCCACTTCTCTTTCCTACTGGGCTTAAGTGAAAGTCCTTGGAAGAGAAGTTTTCAATCAGTGGAGCTGATGAGGCCCTCAGGGCTTGGAGGGTAGATTTGGTTGTACAATATTATAAAATATGTGTAAGAAAAAAACAGCCCAGGCCTCCCAGCAGTAGCCCAGTATCTGCCGGTTGCTGATCCTGCAGCCTGACCCCTACATCTACGTGCTGGACAGGGAAAGGGACAGGGTGATTGCTGGGCCTTGGTACAGGTTTATGATAGAGCAGCATCAGATCTTCCCTGCCCTATGGACATGTACATAAACATTTATAGCCTCTTCCCCTCAGCCCTGCTCTGCTGCAAGGAAGCAGGTGAGAGAGTGACATCTGGGCACAAAACGTCCATAAGACCAGTTACAGGGTCTAATGCAATGAAGTCATTCATTTAGGACCTATTTTCACACAGGGACAAGGAAAAACCAGGAACTTGTATCCTACCCTTTAAACAGACATTCTAACCTACACAATTACCTGTAATGTCTTAGCTCAAAACACAGGCCTTAGCTTCTGCTAAGGTTTGAAGTGTGGGAAACATCTAGCTCCTCTCTTTCAGTTCACGCTCTAGCTGGTTGGCAAGACTGTTGCAGAAGATTCTGAGAGGCAGAAACATCTGCAGTGAGGAAGGCAGCTACTGAAGGGATTCTGGGAGCATGAGACTGAGTTTGCAGAGCTGGATGCTGTCACTGTCCTTTTCTAGTGATGTCTTCTTCCTTCAGAGCAAACTTCCGCCTCAGGACCTCAGAGATAAGGACGGCAGGGTCTTCCTCTTTCAATAAACTCCGGTTCCTAGAGACCAATGATAGCTTATGCTTATTGAGCATTTCACTCCTGGGCAATATTAATACACATTACCTCATTTAATCCTTATAACAATCCAATGAAATAGGTGCTATTACAATCCCCTTTTACAGATGAGGAAACTGAAGCACCAAAAATTTATGCAATTTGCTCAAAGTCAATGGTCACTCAGTACGTGGTGAGTCAGGAATTTAAAACTAAGGTAGGTGGTTCCCAATTTCATGCTCTTAACTAGAATGGTTTACTATCTCTTGAAATGACTATAAAATGTGAGCAAAGGCCCATCTGTCACAGCTGGCCTCTGCTCCCATAATCCGGCCCTGTCTTTTTCTTGGTAGCGTTTCTCCAGGGGATCAGCCATCAGAAGTGGCCATTCTGACCTTTATTAGTTCTGGGGAAAGGATAATGCTGAAGATCTACTACCCTGTCTCTATCAAGGGAGCTAAATTTATAGCAAAAATCTTCATGTCATAAAGGGCCAGTAGGAATAAAACCAACTCCAAACTGAGGTAGGTTCACATTACCTGATATATTTAGATAGCTAGAAAACAGCTGAAATTGTAATGAATGTAAATAGATTGTCATGAAGGTGTTTTACTGGCCATTAAACCTAGGTATAAGGGTCTATGTTGGTTATTAAACCTTGAAAACAAAAATGAGAGGAATTGTTTTTGGGTTGTCACATTTCTGAACCTTTGCTGGGAATAGGCTACTTTCCTATTCGTCATCATCATCCCACCTCTATCTACTATCAAGATAGAAAACATCCCAGGACACAAGGGGAAGGAGAGGTTTGGCAGTGAGGCTCTTGGTGCAAGAAGCAAGTGAAAAAGTTGAGAGTCGATTTATAAAATTTTGTGACCAGAAGAAAAAGACTCAGTAGAGCTCAAAAGCCACAGCAGCACAATTTGGGAATGGGAAAGACAGAACTGGCTAGAGCCAGAGAAGGAATGGAAGAGTGACTTCCCTAAATGGAAAGACTAGGACATACATAATGAGAATGTTGACACAATGTGAAAAATATAACCAATGTTACTGAACTTTTTATGCAGAAATTATTTTGCTGTGTACACTTTCACAAACAATATTTTTTTAAAGTGATTTTTCTAAAGGAAGTAGTGAGAAAAGTCACTTAGCCTTGTCTGGTTTTCAGCAGGAAGAGGGCGCCAGACATATAGAGCACTTTGCACAAGGTGAGTAACCTTCCCTTCAACAGGAACTGCATTAACTCAGGAAAGAGCCCTTATGGCCAGGCCCCCAGGACAGCTTTTCTAAATCATTGTTAACAAATGGAGACCACCACCCTGGGCTCTTGCCTTCAAGGTCTGGATCTCAAACTCAAGAATGAAAATGCCAGGAACCTGTATTTAAACAAGCTTTTTAAAGCAGCAGCTTAGACCACAGTTGGAGAGATGCTGTTCAAAGTGTTCACTCCCTCAGTGGGGTATCTACAGCTTCTCTGCTAGATGGGTTTCTTGAAGTATGCAGTTCCCAAACTCCCTTGCACTATCAGAAACACCTGGAGCTCCACCCCTTGGGGATTCTGGTTTAGTAAGTTTAAGAGGTATTTTTTTTTTTTTTTTTTTTTAACAAATTTGAGCAATTCTGATAGGCAGCCAGGTTTAGAAACTACCTGTGAATCTCAAAAGCCTTGTTCTAAAGGTTCTCACCTGAATTTTCAGGATTGGTCTGCATAACAGACCCACTGTTCTAAAGCAGAAACTCCCAACTTTATGAAATTTTCCCTCCACCAAAAAAAGTACACCAGTTTGAGATACCAAAATACACGCCATGCAACCCCATCTTTGAAGGGTGGAGCATGGGGGCGCTGTCACAGTAGTATGAGAACTGAGGTGGTGAAGGCACCTGGGGGGCAGAGGCAAGTTAGATCAGATAAACCTCACAGGACCCTACTAATCTAACATTTGGTTGAGGTGACATAATCCAAGTGTAAAGCTTGCTCTTCCTCAAGTTGGAACCCCAGGTACTAGCAAGCAAGGTAGTCGGCAAGCTTTGTGAACAATTAATAGATGGCTGCCACTGAGCCTGTACTATGTACCAGGTGCTGCGTGCATCACACTTTCACATTCTGTTAGCTCACCAGCCATGGGCAACTTAAGCAGTAACCATACCACCAAGCTTCTCAACTAATACTTACAGATCTTGGCTTTGTTTCATCCGGTGAAAGTCCTTCAGGATACCCATCATATCTGCAAAGCTGCTGGCCTTGGACAGAGAGATGCAATCATCTTCTTCAGATGAGCTGCAGGTGGCTTTGTTTTCTGGTTTGCAACATTCAGGGCTGGCAGAACAAAGCAGGGGGACTGATGGAAGCTCAGGGACCTCTACCTCAGTCTCCTCGGTGATGTCACTAATGACAAAGGAAGTTGTAGAGTGGAATGAGGATCCAAAGCAAGGTAAGGGAGAAGAGACATTTGAACTTCCTGGAGATAAGAAATCTGGCGTTAATGAAGCCGAAGCTGAAAGAGAAAACAATAGGCGTGGATGGACATTGGGGCCGGAATATAACAGCAAAATCTTTTTTCCCACAACCTACTGAACTTCCATTTCTTGAGCTGACACCATTACATCCTGGGAGCTAATAGGATTGTATCTGGAACTAGGGGAGTGTCCCTCTACCACCCTCCCCACTTAGGCTCTCAAAAAGATGTAGACAGCAGTAGGCTCTTGCATGTTCAGGGAGGGCAGAAAGACCTACCCCCTGCAGTACAGAGTGACAACACTGTTGTACACTGAAGCCACAGTGACAGAACCAAGTCTGGAATTTGTTCTTTTTTCCAATATAACAGGGTTAGTGTTTTTGACTATGTTCGTTTGAGTCCTGATATCTGAGCTAGAAAAAGTGTGCTTTCAGAAAAAGAATGGCGATGGTTCTCCCAGTTTCCCAAATTTTAATGGAAAGTATTTTTTCATTTTTTAAGTTTTCTCTCTTATTTTTCAAAAACTGTTTCTGCTTGTCTCTTGGATTACAGAAAAAATGCCAAGAAATATAAATGGAAAACTCAAGTGCAATTCCTTAATAAAACTTCCATATGAGGAAATTTAATACATGAAGATTTCAGAGAACACCGATTTCCATGAGTTCCACCAACTGATAACCTTTAAAAGCTACTAGTTAATGAGGATCAAAACAAATAAAACGATAGGAAGATAAACCCCTGAGCATCTTGGGAGAGGTCCACCTGTTGGTGTTTCAAGCCTTCTGGTCAAGGCAGATTCCCATCCATGTCTAGTAGTTCTGCCCTAACTCCAGACAGAAGGGTGGTCTCTGGTAGAAAGGGACAAACCCTAAAATCCCACTGCCATCAAGTTGTTCTGACTGATAGCAACCATTTAAGACAGAGCAGAATAGCCCACAGGGTTTCCAAAGCAATAAATCTTTATGGAAGCAGACTGCCTAGGTGCTTAAAGGAGGCGTGTCTCTGAGCAGTAGGAAGGGGGACTGATTCTCATGTTGAAAATGAAAGCCCCTGAGGGTTCATGGGATGTTGGTTTTTGTGGCCAAGAGCAATCTGTCTGGGGTCACAGGGTCAGAGAAGACTTGTTTCTAACTAAACCATTTTGCCAAAAGTGGTGGGAAACATCCAAGGGACAACCACAAGCTATATATAGCTAGGCCTGAAGGCAAACAGGCACCACCATTTTCCCAACCCCTATCCTGCCCAAAACCCAGTGAGAAGAGTCAACCTGGTGTACTCTGGCCTGGTTGGGGGGCTCCCACCTGCATCAGCTGCCACGATCTTGGCAATCTGGCTGCGTAGGTGGCTTAGCTCATCCTGCAGCTCTGTGGTGCGGCTTAGGGCTGGCAGGCCTGGCTTCTTCAGGGCCAGGAGCCTCTCCTCTGACCCACGCAGGTTGGGCACTGAGGCATTGCGCTGCATAACAATCAGAGGGCTGGGCTTCCAGGTGTGCCTCAGGGGGCGCGTATCACTCCTGGACGAGGTAAAGACAAGTTTTCAGTCAGAGGCAGCTAAGTGAACCCTTTTACAATTCCTCCACCCTCTCCTACAGGAATGACACAGCCAGGGTTTGCTCTCTCTCTCAGTCCTGGGACTGCGCAACTGCAGAACAGCAGCAGCTCTCATTCCTGTTGCCCTCCGCTCTCATCTCTCACAAGAACACTCTCTGTTGCTGCTACCTCCTCTGGAAGAAGCTCTCATCTCCTGGCAGACTGGCTACTGCCTCAGCTACCTGACCCGGGCATAGGTCTCCTCTTCATCGGCGGCAATCCAGGCGATGTCAGCCAGGGTGGGAACCGGGGGTACATCCCTCAGACACAGGTCAGAGATGCTGGGTAGGGCCTACGGGGAAGCAAAATTCATCAGCAACATTTACTGACCCCATGCTGAGACTAGCAGCGGAGACTGCAGAATACATAGCACGTGTCAGGGAGGCTTCCTAGAAAGGGAGAAAAGGGTTCCTGGTGGGAATAGCTTGGATAAGAGGCCAAAAGCAAGACAACTCGTGGGATTACAAATAGTTCAGCATGGTTGGAACAGAGATGGTGAGATGTGGATGGAAGAGGCTGGAGAGTAAATCATGAGTTTTGACTCTAAGACTGGCTCCTGGCTTTTATGTAGGTAAGGATCAGATTTAAGGATTAAAAAGACTGGCTGCTGTGTGGAACGTGGATGGGAGGGTGGGAGAGACCAGTTATCAGGCTGCTGTATCATCTAACCAAAACAGGGTGGCCTAGAGCAGGCATTGGTCCGTTTTTATATAAAAAGTTTTACTGGATAAAAGCCGCACCCATTGGTTTGCATATTGTCTATGGCTGCATTCAAGTTGAACAGACTATATGGCCTGATTTTACCATCTGGCCCTTTATAGAAAAAGTTTGCTGACAATGGCCTAAAGCAAAAAGGTCTTCAGTGTTCCTGGCCTGAGTTACCGCTTAACATAAATGGCCACTGTCCAAAACCATCCTGCTTGCTGGTTCCAAGAATACAGGTGCAAGGTCACCAACGACCTATTACTTCACCAGGAAATTTCTCCTAGGCTAACTCCTTACAATCCCTTTATAGGTAATTGGAATTTATATTGTTACAGCAATGTTGTTTTAAACAATCTTGATAATTTGATATCTTGATTTAAATAGAAAAGATGAATTAAACAGAAGGAACCATCATAGAATTCCTTAAAATAGCCCTCCATTCCAAATCAACAACAAGGGAACAGAAAGGCTGAGTAAGTAACACTATGTTCAATGACAAAGTTTGGAGGATTCAATCATGCTGACTGAGATTACAGCAAAGTAAAAAAAAAAAAAAAAAAATGCATCTAGGTAAAGAGGGAAAGGGAAGTTCACCAAGATTATGTTATGACTGCATGATTACTGATCATTTTCCTTTCCATAATTTAATATTTTTATAAGATTAATTTAAAAAAAAATCTGCAAGATTTCCTGAACTAGTATTTCATGTAATTTATAATAGAAATTTAGGGATAATCTATTATCAAAAACACACCCACACACAAGTTAAATTCAGATGTTTCTGCTCCAAACAGTTTGGCAGGTAGATCAGGCATTGATCTCTGGCTTTTAGCTAAGGAACCTGGGATTCCCAGGAGTCCAGTGACACTCTCAGGTCACACACAGGACTTCCACAGATCCAAGAGTGCTGCTAAGATGGGCCATTTAGGGAAGCCTCCACTTGCTTTCCTGGATTAGTTCAGAGTGCTCTTTTATTCTTGGCAATTAAATGAGTTAGTGCATATAATAGTGCACAGTGTCTGGCACATAGTATGTGCTCACTAAATGTTGGCTAGTATTGCTAATACTACTCAAACATGCTCCTACTCTGTGGAAGCTTGTGCCCAGGATCATCACTGCCCAGCAGCATCTGGCCAAAGGACTGGAGAGATTATAGCCAAGTGTGGGGCAGCATCCATGGAATCAGGCACACTCATCAGTTGGCTTTCCCTTTGCTTCAGATACAGCTAGAACCACATCCTGCCTACCTCTCCAGGCAATTCTGGGTAACTGGCAATCTGGGTCATTGGACACTCCTTTCTTAACACATAACACTAACTCCTAACCCTAGTCCTGATTCTAGTATCAGTCCTGACACCACTTCTAACTCCAGCTCCTACACAAACTTTGCATTTCAGCACCTTTGTTTGTTTCCACCTGGGCCCATGTGCCTTCATGCATATATTCTTCTCTCTCTTGTGCAGGCAGAAATCAGAAGTATTTCTTTTGTGTCCAGCTCCCCAAACGCATATACCTTAAGCATCTAGTCTAGAGCTGGTGCTTAACCATTACTATCTAGAGAGAGGAAGCTGGGCCTAATAAATGCTAGTTAGCTTTCTATTGCAAAAGGGATCTCAGAGACCTGGACCAGGCAGGGAATCTTTGCTCTGCAGAGTGGGTGCTAAAGGCACCCAGAGAGAGCTAAGTTTGAAGGAGTCCAGCAAAGGAGTGGTTAGACTTGGCCAGAAAAAGGAAGATGGAGAGTAATGGCCTCAGGGAAACACTAAAAATAGGTGGCTAAGTGGCCAGCCTTAGGGCTGGTAAAGAAAACCACAGCTCTACTCAGAGTCCCATGCATAACTCAGTTTTCTATGCTGGGATGTGCCAGGGTTGCAAGCAAAAACCTCAGTACACAAACATAACTAGTTTAAAGATCTTAGTTGGGGCCTTTGGGCCTGCTGTGATAAACTCCAGTGCTGGAGCCTAAGAAAATCGAAATCATTTAGCAGAGACAACAGAGATGCTTGATTACTTCAGGAGCAAATTGGATGTCTGACTGTTACGGTCACAGATTTGTGCACAAGAAGAAAGGTACAGTGACCAGGGTCCATTATAAACACTTAATAAATATTTATTGACAAAATGAAGCAATAACCAGGAAAGCAACCTGCCTTGACAAAGCTGAGTGGTTTGGGGCAAAAGAGCAGCACTGTCCTCCCACACTCTCAACCTTTAATCCTCCTGCCCTTCCTTCTAGCACACTCACCTCAAAGGATGCCCGGGGACACGGCTTCAGGGGTAGGTTGGTCCCGATTCTTCTCACTACACTGCGAGCAGCCCCATAAGGCTTATTTTGCCATATTGGGATGGTCTACAGTAGAAAAGGACAGAGAGACAGCCACATCCTCAGAGATAAGAGTCTAACTGCTATCCCTGCCCCCGCTCCTCCTTAGCAGGGAAAATGAATTTCTCAATCACAGGGACAAGGCACCCCCCTCCAGAAGTAGGTCAAGTCTCAATTATGAGGACAAGTTCCCCTGTTACCAACCTCATCTTGGCCAGCCACCTAAGAGCTGTGCCTGCCTCAGCCCAACACAAAGTCAACGTTGAAAGGATCCAGTGGAGGGGTGAAAATGAGCTGGATGTAGGGATCATCCAGGCTTCTCTCCCCTCCCTTTGCAGAAACAGACTCCTGAACTGCCCAAGATTACACCTGGCTCTTCCTGGGGGAGGGGATGGAAGGGAGGCCCTTCTCCAACTCCAGGCCTCCAGGGGAAAGGAGGAGAAAAATCGAGTGTCTCAGAACCTGGTACAGTACTTCAGCAGGCCCAGTGCTCTGCCTTCCCCATCACATCCCTCCCCTGTGGCTGCCACTTACCACATTGGCTTCCATCCCCAAAATTTCAACCAGCTCCTGCACTTGAAGGACAAGGCACCCACGGGGCGGCTCTGGGGACTCGGAGAGGTGTGAAGCGTGACTCCTTCATATCAGGCCATCTTGAGGAACACACTTTCCTTCCTGTGAAATAAGCCCCAGACTGGGTATTCAATGGCCAGCACATGAGCCCCACTAAACCAAGTCCTGCAGAGCATGACTAAGAGCAAGGCAAGCTTTTTTGACATTTCACGGGGAGAAAATGAGTCCAAGGGGTTGGCCTAGCCCAATAACAGCTTTTTCAAACTTAGACTTTAAAGATTTTATTCCAGACTTGTTGGGTGAGCTTGGCCAACCCTGGGAGCCTTCTTGGACTCTTTGGTTTTCTAAGGCAAGACTTGATGTAAGTAGAATCCCTCAGCTACAAAGCTCATGGGAAAGCCAAAATGCAGGTACCATCAAAGCCCAGCATTCACTGTTAAAGGATGAAAAAGCCCAACCCGTGCCACCAAGCCTAACACTCTGGGACCCCACTAGGGGGAGAGGCAAGATGGAGAACAGGAAAGTGAACAGCCAGCTCTTGCCAGACTCACAGTCAAAAAATTTTATCCTGGCCAACCCCCTCCCTTTGCAAAGGCAGGCAGGATACAGACTCCTGAACTGCCCAAGACTGCACTTGGCTCTTCCTGGGGGAGGAGATGAAGGGTGGCTTTCTCCAATTCCAGGCCTCCAGGGGAAAGGAGGGTGCTCTGGCGGCATAGTCCCTAAGCACTTGACTGCTAACCAGAAGGCTGGCTGTTCAAACCCACCAGCCACTCCTTGAAAGGAAGACTGGGCAATCTACTTCCGTAGTGATACTGCTTCGGAAACCCAAGGAGGGGTCGCTATGACTCGGATCCAACTCGACGGCAGTGAGTTTGGTTTGGTTTGGAGGGGAAAGGAAGAGAGAACTTAAGAGTCTCAGAACCTGGTACAGGTTTAGCCAAGTCATTTAACCTTTCTGAATACTACCTTTTTCATCTGGAAAAAGCAGGGCTTCAAACCAGTTCATCTGGTGCCACTCCACATATACTGAATCAGACAGAATCTCTACAGTTTAACAAGATCCCCAGGTGATTCTTACGTATACATAAGAAGAGGGTAGAACCAGGATGAACTGTTTCAAGTCTTGGTAAAAAGGGGATAAGAAAAGCTACTACACCAGGTTACCTTGAGGCTCAATGAGTGAAATAGGAGATTTTAAAGGGCTTAAAACCAACAACAACAACAAAAAAACAAACTCACTGCCATCAAGTCAGTTCCAACTCATAGTGACCCCTCTTTGGGTTTCTGAGGTGGTATCTCTACAGACTGCTCAATCTTCCGAGGAGTGGCTGGTGGGTTTGAACCACCAGCCTTCTGGTTAGCAGTCAAAATGCCTTAGGCACTATGTCACCAGAGCTCCTATGAACTGTTAAAACAAGATACAGATGGGGCGGGGACCCCTACTGACTGGCCTCTTCACAGCTGCCCTTCATGGTGAGCAAATGCCATCAATGAGCTCATTCGTTCCCTTGTTCATCAAACACCAATGATACCAGGCCTTGTGCTGGGTGCTGTAGGGGATAATGGAACACTAAGACATAGCCATGCCCTCAGGGAACCCACAGTCTAGCAATGATAAAGGACCTGAGTGCATAATTCTAACAGAGGTGAACCCACCCAGAGACACCTGGAAGGCCTGATGATCTGCGTCTGAAAGATCACAGCCTTGAAAACTCGATGACATGCAGTTCTACTCTGCATATACAGGGTCACCATGTGTTGGAATCAACTAGAGAGCAAGTTATTTATTTACTTACTTTAAAGAGATGCATGCTAGGTCACTGGCTAAGTGAGTTCAGCCCTATGGCCCCAAGACCCTGTGGGGAGTTCAAGAAGGTAGGAAGGGCAGAAAAACAGCAGCAGGAGCAAAGGTCCAGGACAGGAAGGTGGGAGATGTATAGAGCAGAGCAGTGGATGATAAGGCTGCAAAGGGAAACGGGGGGTCAGGTCACGAGGGCTGGAAATGCCTGGATGAGAAGCCATGGAGAGGCTATGAAGAAGGAGCAGATGAGTAGCTCTTTTCAGGGCCTTTCCTTGGATGGTCTCTCCCACCACTAGGAAAAGAGGTATCATGTACTTTACGATACAGATGGGGAAATGAAACTGGAGAGTGGAAGGGACTTTATCTAAAGTCACTCAGTGGTCATACTAATAGAAGCACCTAAGGCCTGGTCCAGATCTTAACTGCCTCTTGCAGAGGCTCCATCTTCTGAACTTCATTCAAATCCTTTATCAAAGTTCCTCTGTGCTAAATTCAGTGCCTGCAGGAAGCTCCATGTAACAGTGCCCCTCTCTGCTGCTACCTTACTCATTACAACCACTTCCTCCCAGATCTTACTTCCTATCTTGGTTCTCTAGTGCTTCTATAACAGTGGGTGCTTTAACTAACAGGGATTTATTCTCTTACAGTTTAGGATGCTAAGAGTCCGAATTCAGAGTGCCAGCTCTAGAGTCTGGGTGCAGGCCCCTTGTCCTTGGGCTTCAGCTCTGCCTCTTCTTCCAGGCCCACTGAAGCTGGAGGTATCTCCTAACTCAGGTAGCTATAGGCTGCTGAGGCTGCTGAACCCAAAGTCAGCAGGTAAACGGTACAATCCCAAGATCAAGAGGCAACACAGCAGGCCACTGGTTCAAGTCCAGAAACTGGAGATGACTCAGCCAAATGCAGGATCCCAAATGTACCAAAAAGCTCGAGATCTTTCCCAAAGTTTCTCCATATATACTAGAAGCAGACCACACCCCCAAGGCAACTACTTAGCGGTTCACAGCAGATTCCAACATGGAGGTGATTACAATCTCATCACAGTGAATAACTATATCCAGCTGCCAAGCTACTCAGAACCACAGCCCAGCCAAGTTGACAAACAATCTTAATTACCACACCTCCAAAGATTCAGTTGGGCTTAACACACCACAACCTAAGGAATCTTTCTGAAACACATTGCTTATCACATCCTATGTTCAAAAAATCCTCTACTGGCTTGCTAGAGCCAACAGAATACGATCTAGACTCCTTGGTATGGCGTGTAGGGCCTCAACGGTCAGTCCCCCTCTCATACCCCTGCCCCCCCTTCTAGCTCAAACTCACTAGAGTCTATGTGGCTTGTATAATTTGACCCTGCATGCTTCACAGAGGACACATCCTGCTTTCCTTCTCTCTTGCTCTCTGCCCTTCAGCCATATTGGCCTTTTTTCTGTGGGAAGGAACACTACTTCCCAGCCTTTGTCCACACTGCTCTGCCTGAAACATCAGCAAGCCATTCACTGACTTCATTTTCACGTACTGTTCAGAGTTCAGTTCAAGCATCATTTCCCTTGCCTGGACAGAGTTAGGTCCTTTAGAATTTTGCTCTGTCCAAACCAAACCAAACTCACTGCCATCGAGTTGATTCAGACTCATGTTGTTGTTGTTGTTATGTGCCGTTGAGTCAGCCCTGACTCATAGCGACCCCTCCTTGGGTTTCCAAGGCAGTATCACTACGGAAGTAGGATTGCCCAACCTTAGAGACCCCCATTTGGTTTCTGAGGCTGTAAATCTTTATGGAAGTAGATCGCTCTATCTTCCTTCGGCAGAGTGGCTCGTGGGTTTAACTGCTGACCTTCTGGTTAGCAGCCAAGTGCCTTACCCACTATGCCACCAGAGCTCCTCAGCACCCTGCATTTCTTCCTAATCTTCTCACAATAGTAATTAGGTAACTGCTGCTTCTATTAAGTGCAAGGACTCCCCCAGCCCACATGACAATACCTGCCTAGCACACAGTAAGCACTTAATAAACCTGGCAGTGTTTTATTCTGTTGGTCACTGTAAGTCGGAGTGGACTGGACAGTATCTAACAACAACAAACAGCTGTTGAATTAATAAATGAATGGAGAGCACCAACTCAGCATTCAAAACTCTACACCCAAGTGTCACTGGCCATGAGAAGAATCTTCCCCCGGTTCGCTGACCACATAGGTTGGTTATGACACTGGTTGGTTATCTGCGTTCCCACAGTCCCTTATGAGGTGGTTGCTATTCTGTTTATACAGCCTGAGGACACTGGGCGCTCCGCCAGAGCCGGGCCTGTCTCATCACCCTTGGGTCACGGGCGCTGCACGGAGGCCGCTGCGCTCAAACTTTGCCGAGCGGACCAGCGGTTGGCTACCTGAGCCGACGGTCACCCAGCGTGGGCCTCAATAAACTGCGCTGGGATGGAAAAACCGCTGCTGGACCCTGGCCCTGGGCACGCCTCCCCTTCTCCGCTACAACTCAACCCGACCAGGGCCAAGGGCGGCCAAACTCTAACCGCCTGCCAAGGCGGCCCTTGGACCCACAGGCCCGGTGCTGGAGTGCCCGGGATCCTCCGAGCTGGATCCGGGTCCCACAAAGCGCAGCCTATCTGGAAACGAGGCCAAAAGGGGAAGTCACCTGTTCTAGTCCCCCCATTGTTGAGTGGTAACAACTGCCACTCGAGGACTCAGTTTCCCCTCCTGATAAAGGAGGCGACCAACACCGGTTCCCGCGAGAACACGCGCGGGAACAGGAGCCACGGGCTCTGCACAGCCCCTGGCACAGAGACCTAGTGTATAGCCCGGCCAGAAGGCTGCGTTCCCGCTTCTGAAGTGGCACACGCACCTTTCCTCACCTCAATCCCGGCTCTAGGATTTACTCACCTTACGGCCCCTCCTACCACAGCCGGTCGCCCAGACTCACAGCTCTCACTTCCTCTGACCCGCCCACCCCCGGAAGCGATCCTCCGCGGCTGCGCACCGCGCTGTGTCCTCAAGCGCCTTCAGAGGCAGACCCACCTCAGGGGCCGGAGGAGCGCGGCCTCTGCCTGGGCGGGGCTGGGCGGGGCGGGAGGCGAAGGCACGTGCCAATCCTAAAGAGACACGCCCCTCTCGAGACCGCGCCCTGCCTGTACCTCGGAGCGGAGGGAGGAAGCTGTTTATTACTGTTGGAGAGCAGCTCCCCGCTGTCTCCGCCTCTTTGCCACTCTTTTAGTCCGGACCCACCCATTGCCCTCGACTCATGGCGATCCCTCCTTGGGTTTCCGAGGCGGTATCACTATGGAAGTACGTTGTCCAGGCTCCCTTCCAAGGAATGGCTGGTGGGTTTGAACCGCCAGACTTCTGGTTAGCAGTCAAATACCTTAGGCACTAGGCCATCAGAGCTCCCTTAGTCTGGGCAGGGCTTTTGAAAGCCTGGATGCTGTGGTTTCAGTCCTTGCTCAGCCCCTTAAATATTTGTTCCCTGCCCAGAAGTGTATCTACAGAAAATAGCACCGATGGGAAAAATTGAAATTGAGCCCCTGTCCAAACATCTGACACCCCTCTTTTACATAACCTTACCATAAAAATACAGGACAATTTCCTTGATCTTTTACTTAGCATATTATGGCACTACGTGAAAATTACAACTGCTCCCTCCTTGCTTTCACTTAGGAAAACTGGTCTAGGATGTACTCATTTTTCCAGTTTGTTCCTTTTCTACACTCAGCAGAGCAAGATCACATAGTCTTCCTTGACACACAGAGGCTCTCAAATACAAAAGTATTAGCTTTAACTAGCTGAATGATCTCTCACAGTTGGCATGAAAACTGATGGTTAATAGAAACTGCTCAGTGGCGCTCCAGGAACGTATCATACTTGCCATACCTTAGACACTCCTCTGTTCTTGTTCTTACCCCTACTGTGAAGTTCAGAACCTTCACCCTTAAGAACGTGGCCCTCTGGGTCTGCCCCTTGCCCTGCCTCATCTTGCACTGGTCCCCTTCACAGTACATGCTTCCTGTTCAAGCCCCATTCTTTCCACATTCCACTCTTCCCCTCTGTCTCCCACTGTCCATTTCCTATCATCTATTCCAGTCCATGTCAGTGCCTCCCTCTCCAGTGTATCTCCTGGCTGAAATGGGCCTCTCTCTTCTCTGACTCCTGCCCTGTGGTGCTTGCAGCTTGCTTCTATTTCAGCCTCTCTCTCTCTCTCTCTCTTTCTCCCTCTCCCTCTCTCACACACACACATACACACGTTGACCCCATTGTCTTGGAGTCAATTCCAACTCATAGCAACCCCTTAGGACAGAGAACTGCCCCATGAGGTTTCCAAGGCTGTGATTTTTACAGAAGCATACTGTCACATCTTTCTCCTGTGGACCAGCTGGTGAGTTTGAACCTCCAACCAGTTAGTAGCTGAGAGCTTAACCACTGTGCTGCCAGGACTCCTTACACACAGGTACAATGTCCAGCTACCTCCCCATCAATTCAGGGCAGGCCTCAATAGGAATTTGTTGATGAGCAAGATGCCTTAGGTATCAGGAAACAAATTCAGAGTGACCCCCACACTCCGTCCACACTCATTAACTCACTCTTTGTGACTGAACTCTTGTGGTCCTGATCTCCATGACATCTGGTTCCTAGGTCCTATCTCCTCCTCTGCCCTCAGCACAGGGCTAGCCTGGCTCCTTAGTCCCAATGCCTGCAATCTCAATCTGTCAGGGTCAAAGTCATGGGAACAGCCTATGTAGTCACACAGAGCCCCATACTCAGAAAAACCTCATGGTTGGTTTAAGGCTCTTTTGTCTCTGGCTTGAAATTATAATTTTTTAACCAAGGGCCCCACATCTTCATTTTGCACTGGACTCTTATTTTGCCCTCAAACTCACACAGTCATTGAGTTGATTCCAACTCATAGTGACCCTCGTTGGGTTTCCAAGGCTGTAAATCTTTATAGAAGCAGACTGCCTCATCTTCTGTGGAGTGGCTAGTGGGTTTGAACCACTGACCTTTTGGTTAGCAGCCAAATACCTTAACCACTACATCATCAGAGCTCCTTTATTTTGCCCTAGGCCCCACAAATTATGTTGCTAGTCCTGGCCAGAGACCTCAGAAGTTGTCCCACCTGATCCCTACCAAGTCTCAAAGATGAAAATTAACTTCCAGGCCCAGCACTCTTTTCAGGGTGGCATATTCGGTGCTTTAGTTGTTGCTCCCCACTCCTGGGCCATGGACACTACAAATCCACCCTAGCATTCTATCCTGGGTGTGATAGATGATGCTTTAGTGTCCCACCCTGATGCCTCTACCGAGCTAGTGAACCCATCCCTCAGCTGAACCCAATTTTTCTCCAGAAAACTGCCCTTGCCTGGAGGGAGAATACAACCCCCTAGTTTAAGAAGTTACTCTGCCCCAAAGACAAAAGGCCAGCTCAATGCCTCAGAAAGAAAGAACGCTGCCATCTGGGGTAAGCTCCAGAGCCCTGCTCCGTGAGCCAGGCCAGGGCTAGGCTTTCTCCCCATTCAGCATTTTCCCCGTCCCCGTTAGACTTCACTCCTTCTTTCATGGGTTTTTCCCAAAGTGCACTCACTCAAAAAAAATCAAGTGCCCTAATGCTTGCCTCAGGCTTTGCTTCCAGGGAATCTGGGCTAAGACACTGGGTTTGACTTCTGAACACAGAGCGACAGACAGCCACTATCCACTGGCTGCATTAGCCTGCGAGATGCCATCTCCGTACCATCTCAAAATAGCTGTACTGGGCCTATCACACTTAATTTTAGACAAGTCACTCCAGCCCTCTGGTGGCTGATAAGATAGTCCCCAAAGGCATGCCAGCTCAAATCTACACTCCCTTGTCCATCTGCCAAGCCAATCCCAATGGGAGGGAGGGGAGTAGGCAGACCACGGAAGGACAGACTGAACAACCTACTCAAAGGAAAAGCACTCAGAACCAGTCCAGGTTCTCCAACTTTATTATAGGACACGCTGGGGGCAGGAGAGGGAAGCAGCAGAGGGACCGCATGAGGGCAGCTGGGGCTCCTCATCTACCAGGCGCCTCAAGAACAGGGAGGACAGAACCATCAGAGGAGTCAGAAGGCCTAAGATATTAACACCTTAATGGGGAAGTGGGGCAGGCCTGGAGGCCATGGGGCAAGGATCTCTCCTTGTGGAATCGAAAGCCCAGGAGCAGCTGATGATGAGAGCTCACGGCGGGGTGTGTGTGCGTGTGTGTGCCGAGTCTGCTAATGCCAGGTGCTTCCTCTGATGGCACTGGGTGGCTCATTGGACGGACTACTGTCACCCACTTCTAACGAGATGGTAGAGACACTGAGATCAGTTTAGGTGCTGCCCTCCCCTTGATAGCACTGCCTCCTAGCAGGACACAAAGAGCCTAGCTGAGCTTGTGGGCTCATGCCTTATTTGATCTGAGATCACGGGGGATGAAGACATTTTAGTGTGAAAGGCTTTCCTTTCTACCTCAGTGAAAATGGGCAGGGGAGGGAGGTAGGGGGTGCAGTACAAACAGCCCCAAAACACCACGGGCTTTGGATCACGTGGGTTTGAATCTAACCCTCAAGTGATCTTGAGCAAGTCACTTCACTTCCCTCAGCCTCAGTTTCTTCATCTACAAAATGGAGACAATTCACACCCACCTCACAGGTTTGCTGGGAGGATGAAATGAGAAAATACATGTAATCTCAGCAAAGTGTCTCAGAAAGAAAGCTCTTGAGAACTGGCTACTATTATTATACTTTGATACAAAACAGACCAACACTGGCTGCCAGGAAGCCTCACTGTGCATGCTCCAAGGGCAAGCGGGGTAACCTGGCAGATGGGTAATCTGAAATGCCCGCTCTCCTTCCTCTGTTGGGTTTAAGAGTGAGCCCCTGGCCTGGCCCCAAGGCCCTCATGAAAAAGCCCAGGGGCCCCTCATGGAGGACAAGGATAGGGCTGGGGGTGCACTGATGCTCTGAGGAATGTTTTTAAAAAGCCAGAAGAGAAGAGAGGGGTTTCTTCCCAGAGGCACAACTGCAAAGACATCAAGCTGGGTCCATCTAGGATTTCAGATCCAGCTGTCATGAGGCGGCTGCTTGGGGGAAACCATCACTCCTTTCTTTCTCCTTAGCACTGGGGTTATCAAAAATACATACAAACTGTGAGAAAGTTCACATAGAAACACTTTTCGCCATGTATAAAAAAGAGACTGGCTGTGGTCAGTGGCTCAGGACGTGGACTGAGGCCCCATGAGTGGCCAAGAAGAGTCATTGGTTACCCAATGGTAGACACGCTGCTGGAACTGCCATGCATGGCTGGGGCAGTGCCAGCTCTAGGAAGGCTGAGTTCTTGACTGGACTGTATTTCCACAGAGTTGAGGTTGAGGGGCAGGAGGCATTTTGAGGGACACTGGCTCCAGCAGGCTGGTGTGACTCTGTGTTAGGGCAGGCAGTGGGTGTGCTTTGGCCCTCACAGAGCCCTTGGTGGTCCCCCTTGGTAAGGATAGAAGCCTACTTTACAGTAAACTTCCCCAGGCAGCTGGCCTCCCGTGTGCTGCAAGATAGGGTTCTGGGGTCCTATCACTAGGTCAGATTGAGTGGCAAGCCCCAGGCTTGGGGACCAGCAGGGGCATAATATAACTTCCACTTGTGAAGGAGGGGAGTGACCCTGGTTTTGCCCAGAAGTGCCAAAAGGCTGGCGACATTGGGCAAAGGAGGGCAGTCAGGGGTTTGGTCAGGAAGGCAGGCCTCAGACAAACAGAAGTGGTTTCTTGGCAGCCTGAACCTCCTAGGCCAAGGCTTCTTGACGTTTCTTTTGGAAGGAGGGTAAAAGTAAGGAGAGAGGGGTGGCCCCGTCCCCAGGACCCACTCTTCCTTATTCTCTACCCTGCAAGATCCTGGACTATAGGACTGAGTGGTGCGGTCCAGGGCCAGGAGGGTAGGGAGGAAGTGGGAGGTCCAGCCAGAGGCTGACCCCACCAGCCAGCCCAGGCATCCCTTGTTTGCCTGCTGTCACCAGGCAAAGCTGGGATGGCCACCCTCAGTTGACCTTGGACCCCACAGGGTTGCCCAAGAGTGGGGTGGGGGTGGGAGTGTCTGAAGTCTGAAATGTGCGGAGGACCACTCTATGGGAATGAGTGGTCAGAGCTGGAGGTCTTTCTTTCCAGGTCCCCCATGCAGCCTGGCTCCCACTAGCTTGGTGGGCACACTAGGGCTGGAGGAGGGGCAAGCCTCGCCGGAGCCCCTCCTTCAGGAACTGCATGTAGGTGGCTGTGGATGGATCTTCAAAAGTAGACGAGAAGCTGAAGACGTTGCTGTCGATGTCCTCGGGCTTCATGGAGGTGATGTCCAGGAAGTAGTTGGCGTTGATGTGGTGAACCTGGGAGGAGGGTGGGTGAGGAGAGTAGGGGCAGGGCCACCCCATCTCTTCTCCCACCCACTCATACTATCTTGGGAGAAGTGGCCACTCTCAAGCCTTGACTCTCTCCTTACGCTGAGACGATTGCAGACAAGCAACTCTAGCTATAAGCCCTTCTTGAATCCATGCCAAAGGCCAGGCTGCTCTTGTCTTCTGGTTGCTCATTCAGGGTCCTCTGACCAGAGCTCTTCCACACCTATCCACTGGGTGGAAACCTGACATCCTTTAATGTCATCTTTTCTGTTACTCCTTGCTTTGCTGTTGGGTGCTGTCAAGTCAGTTCTGACTCATGTCACAGAGTCGAACTACCCCAGAGGGTTTTCTGGGCTGTACTCTCTATGGAAGCAGATCACCAGGTCTTTCTCACACAGAGCCACTGGGTGGGTTTGAACCGCCAACCCTTTGGTTGGTAGTTGAGAGCCTCATCATTGTGCTACAGAACTTCTTACTCTTTGCTACCCCTAACACCAGGGGGAAAAAAAAAACAAACAACCCAAGACTCCTCCCTCCTCTGACTCCTGACTCCATCTCCATCCTCGCATCCGTCAAAATGCCTCGGACACTTCATGGGCCTACTTCTCCATCTCCCTCCTGCTCCAGCCAGTGAGCAATGGGCTCCTGAAGGGCAGGGCTGTGTCTTTATCTTTGGGCACAGGGCCTGGCACAAGAGTAGGTGCCCCCAAAATGGACACAAGAGCAAACGAGTGAAAGCATGCAGAGTAGATGGGCTTCTCATGGCCCAGCCCTCTCTGTTCATCTCTATGGCCCAAGGGCCCTGCCTGGGCCTGGCCCCACTGCGGTGAGTGTCGGAGGGTGTGTGCAGCTAGCTGGCTCTCCCCCTGGGTTGCTCTCCTCACTTGAGCCTGGCCCATCAGAAGCTTCCTTGCTGGAACCTCTTCCTCTCCACCAAGCCCTCACTGAGCACATCACCCAGGCCAGCCCCAGCTCTTGCTCCTGGACTGCTCCCTGCCCTGAGATCCTGGGAAACCTGGCCACCACTCCTACAGCCCTTAGTCCCACACTGACAATCCCACTGTGGGCTTGGGGCTTAAAGGATACGGGTCAGCTTCCACCAGAAGGGCAGGAGAGCCTGGATCACACAGCCTGCTGCACTTTTTAATTGTGAGACAACTTTAGCCAAGTCACCTCATACTTTTTGAGCCTCAAGTTCCTTGTTTGTTAAATAGTTGTTAATGGTCATCTCTCCCCCAAAGCTGAGGGGAGGAGCCAATGAGAGGACATGGTGAGTGCTGGGTAAGGGGCCCTAATGAGACGTAGGGCCTTGAACCTTGGCTCGGGCTACAGCCCCCTCCTGGCATAGCCCCTTGGACTCTTGGCCTATCTCCTGGCTGGCTCTTCCTTGCTCCTGCCATTCCAAGGCTGACTGCAATGGTCCCAGATGAGCCTTCCCTTCCAGGCCATGTTTTTGTCCACTGAACCTGTCTAGCCCACATGGGAATGTGTTGACTGTGCCCATTGCTACGTGGTCTCCAAGGTGCTGTTGTGGTCCCCTTTCTTGTGGGTACTTCCCAACACCTGTACGGGGCAGGCAGAGTGGGCATTATGGTTCCTATTTTATGGATGGGGATAACTGAGGCTCAGATTGGTTGAGAGATTAGCTTCAGGTTTTGTAGCCAGGAAGTGGTGAGGCCAGTCCAAAGCCTGATGAGCTCTGCAAACTGTGCCCTTGCTGCTCCCTCTGCCCCACAGTGCCTGGCCTGGGCTTGGCTTGGGGGGTGGAGGGTGGGTTGCCTACCACAGTGCCATTGGGCAGGCAGACCATCATCTCCACGGGAAAGCTGTACTTCTCCAGGTGCAGGCCAGCCAGCTTCTTGTGGGATGGGTTCTCTTGGCTGCTCTGTGGGGACAGTTGGGCAAGTTCCTGAAACCTTGGCCCCCACCATTGTCCTGTGGGCTCTCAGGGGGACCTTACCCACCTGCCCACTCACCTGCAGGTCCTCCAGCTCCTTTACCAGGGACCAGGTGCTGATAAAGCTCTCATTGAGGAGGGCAAGGATGGGCGAACTCTCCAGGACAGTCTCCCGGAGAGTTCGCCCTGAACCTGTTCAGGTAGAGATCAAGTCCAGGAGAGTGAGGCACCCCCATATAGTTTACTGGGTTATTCAGTCAGCAATGATCTTGTTTTGGACAAAGATTGTGGACTATAGACTGGCATCTGGAGCCTGCCACATAGCAGGTGGTGAATAAATGGTAGCTGTAGATAGCAGTAACACATGGACATCTTGGGTTGAGATTTGGGGTGGGGGTCTACCTGGCTCAGGGACTTGTAAACAGTGATAATTTCTTAAGTCCACAGAACTCTGCACCCCAAGGCCTTTGTACAAAATGTTCCATCTGGAGCACTCTTCCTTCTGTCTGTCACTTAACAAACTCCTACTCATTCTTCAAAGTGTCAATTTAAATGTCCTCCCTAATACCCCCAAAGGAGCTCTGGTGGCGTAGTGCCTAAGGCATCTGACTGCTAACCAGAAGGTTGGTGGTTCAAATCCACCAGACACTCCACGGAATGAAGTTGGGGCAATCTACTTCTGTAAAGATTTAGCACCTCGGAAACCTAATGGGGGTCACAATGAGTTGGAATTGACTCAATGGCAGTGGGTTTGGTTTTCTTTTTTTTTTGAAATTCTCAGGTACACACTCTCTTGGCTATGTGGACCTCACACTGTAACACTCACACACACTTGAATACTCACTCAACGCCTGGTTTCTGCATTACACTGTATGCTCCCGAGGGGCTGCTTCTGACTTCCTGGCTGCAGTGCCCCAGCACCTACCTGGGGCTGAGCATAGCAGGGGCCCAGAATGTGTTTGATGAGTGACTGGGTGAAGCCATCCTGTACCCACTGTTGGTACAGAGAAGGTTACACCCAGCAGGCTTTGGGGGAGTTTTTGGAATAAGTGAACCGCAAGTCTAGCCTCAGGGGCTCCTTTCTCTCTTGCTTGTGGGTGCTACTTTAGGAGTGCAGGGCATTTCCACACCCATTGTCACAATGGGGGTATGAATGTCATTTGCTTATTATGGCTCAGAAAACTGAGGCTCAGAGAAAAACCAAAACCAAACTCACTGCCATTGAGTCAATTCTGACTCATAGCGACCCCAATTGAGTCTCTGAGGCTCTAAATCTTTACAGAAGTAGATTGCTCAATCTTCCTTCTGTACAGTGGCTGGTAGGTTTGAACCACTGACCTTCTGGTTAGCAGCCAAATGCCTTATCCACTACACCACCAGAGCTAGCCACAGAGAGGGGAGGTGGAAATGGCTGAGTTGGGATTTGAACCCAGTCTGTCAGGGCTCTTGTTATTGCTTTCAGCAGCTTCCTCTGGGTTTGGCATCAAAACCCCTAATCCTTACCCTGCTCTGTGTATATAGTCATGAGGCCCTCATAACTTAGAGTCTCTTGTACCCCAAAAATGTAGTCTCCCTCATTCCCTCTTGGAACTGGCTGGTCTCTCTCACCTCAGCAGGACTGGTCATCCAGGGCCCCCCACAGCAAGATCGAGTGCACCAGCTTGTTTTCAGCCTTGGCTCGGTCGAAGGCCTCAGTGAATGGCAGGTAGCTGACCTGGGGCCAAGCCGAGACAGATAGAAGCTACTAAAGTGAGTCCAGGTCCCGTGTAGGGGCTGTGAGTGAGTGAGTGTGTGTGTGTGTGTGTGTGTGTGTGTGGCAGTGGGTGGAGGGAGGCTTGGGGCTCCTCTGGCACCAGTTTGGGCCCTGTAGGGAAATGCCTTCAGCACCAAACTGTCTTTATATACCAGCACCCCTGTGCCCACCCAATACCCACCCCCACCCCCAAAATCTCAGCTTCAGCACCATGGACCCTAACCCCAGTACCCTCCACTAGCAGCTATCATCACCCGGCCCACCACATGCCTAGCCTCACCTTCTTGAAGGGGTACATGGTCACTTCCAGACGCCGGGTGGCCTCCTCCCAGCTCAGCTCCTGCTGCCACTTGATCTCCTCAAACACAAACTGGAGGGGGTCCCCTGAGGGCAGGCGGCTGTCAATCATGTTGCCGTCCTCGTCCAGGATCATGGAGGGCATGGAGGGGCCCATGGCCTCCAGCTCCATCTGGGTGGAGGTCAGTAGGTGAGGGATGTCTCAGAGCTGGATGAGAAGACTCAAGGGGACTCTGAGAGACCATCACCCATTGTAAAGATGGGGAGACTGAGGCCCAGGAAAGGACAATGCCTTGGTGAGGGCTATGCAGTGAGTCAGGGACAAAGCCAGAGTGCCCAGCTAGCACCCTGGGGATCGTGTGTGAGCACAGGTGGCTTCCAGAAATGCAGGTACTGTGTCCTTCACCCTGGGTTCTCCTGAGCTTCTAGCTAGTGGGGCTCCTCTGGGAGCCAGGCTGGGTAGCCCTGTGGCAGGGCCTTATAGTTGAGCCCCACCCTCCTGCCTGAGTAGGGACCACCTGTACGCTCACCTGGGGTATGTAGCCGATGTCCACCTCCATATTGCTGTTCTCACTGGCTCCATACAGCCACTCCATGTCCACGTTCAGAGACCTGGGGCATGGGTGAGGGGGCAGCAAGAGCAGAATGTCAAAATCAATGCCTATTAACCATGTGACAGGCTTCATCTCACTGGATGTGCACAGCAAGCTGAAATCTGGATCCAGAAGTCTGGATACAGTTACTGTCCCCGTTTTAAGGATGAGGACACTGAGACTCAGCAAGGTAGGATTCTGGCTGCAGCACCTGGGCCCCTCCCTCTCCCTAGACTGCCTCTCCCTAAGGGCACCCAAACACCCCCTACACACACACTTACAGTTCAAAGAGGGCTTCCACATCACATCTCATGCACTGCCTCCGACCCTTGGAGGCAGAGAGACCATGAAGGCCTTGTTGCAGGACACAGGGGAACAGGAGTGAAAACCGAGGTACTGTCCTCCCTGCATTGGCCTCCGGACAGCAAGAAAGCCTGGTCTGACCACATGCAATCTGAAGGTCTACCACACGGGGGAGCCCCAGGACTGCAACCAATAAACTTCACTTTAGGCGAGGTGGAGCAGGGCCTGGAGAGCTGGGAGTCTCTGTAGCTTGGCCCTAAGACATAGGCCCAGGCAGCTGGTCCTGGGGCTGCTCATTTGCTCTCTCCCCTTCCATCTCATCCATGCCAGGACAGCCTGCCCTCTGGCCACTGGTTTGGAGGCAGATGTACCTGTGGTCAGCTCCCTCCCCAGCCCTGGGCTGCGCTCCATGGAGCACCAGTAGTGAAGAGGAGTGGAGCATGGAGTTCTCCCTCCTTTTTACTTGACCCAGGATGCCCTCACCCCGACCTCTCTGGGGAAGAAGAGAAAGCCACGCATGCTCCCTGGAGGCAGCATTCCCTCCTTGGCTATCCTGTGGGTAAGACAGGCCAGGAGTCAAACTTCCATCTATAGATGAGGAGGCAGGGCTGGGGAGTGCCAGGGTCTTGCCCACAGCCACACAATCCGATGGCACCAAGGCCGAGATTGAACTATGGGCCTTCTGGTTCCCAGCCCTGGTCCTGCCCTCATACTGGGCCGTTTGTTGTTGGGAAAGAATCTAGAAAGCCTTAAGTTGGGTCCTCTGGATCCCCTGCTCCCCTGACAGGCTGACCCTGAGCAGGCCATGAAGGCATTGAGTCATCCCAGAAGCCCCTGTGAGGCTCTGTGGTAGCACCTGAAGGCTGAGGGGCATCTATCTTCAGGCCTTTGGGTGTGTTGTCCCCTTTGCTTAGCTATCCCTCCTCATCCCCTAGGTCTCTACTTAGATGCCACTTCCTCTGGGAAGTCTTTCTGGACCCTGACCAGCCAGGTCCCTGCCCACATGCTGACTCCCTCTAGCAGGCATGGTTGTGGGTGTGTGTGAGATTTGTCTGTTCGCAGCATGAGGACAGGGAAGCACCGGCTTCAGGGAGGGCCTGTTTGCTGCTGTACTGGGTCCCCAGGCAGGTCCATATAGCACCTGGGAACCAGAGGATGGAATGATCACTTCTGGCTGCCTCTGGGTAGGGGACAACAGTGCCAGGCTCTGTTGTCCCCTCTAAGGGGGTGGTCCAGGTCCCTTCCAAGAGGAGGGGCTCTGGGGAGCAAAGGAAGGGCGGCAGGCTGAAGGGATCTCTGAGGACCCCTTGTTTCTGAGCTTCTGGAACTGGGGGTGGGGCAGATTATAGCAAGGGCTGGGCCAAGGCTTCTACCTGTGGTTGGGCACGAAGAGCCGGAAGTCTCGGACGTGGGTGGCATCTTTGGAGAGGATGATATGGCCCGTGAACTGACCAGGAGAGAACCAGAAGGGGAAGTCGGGCGGCTCACTGAGCTGGAACTCAGCATGGATCCTGCAGGGAAAGCCCCCAGTTGTGAATAGGTCGCCTGCTGAGCCAGAGATCACCCTCCCACTTCTTCCCCTAAAGACTGGGCACTGGGGAAGGCAACTACACTATAAGCGGGGGAGGGGGAAGAAGTAGGCGTGCAGAGCAGGGAGAGAGTACAAAGCCCTTCAGCGTTGCCCATCCTTCAAGGCCCAGTTCACCTGCTGCCTTCTCTGGAAGCCGTGTCTTGACCCTGTTCTGGGATCTCAAAGCCTCCCTAGGGTGTGTGTGACCTGTATCACAGGTATCATTCACCTTCTGTGTTGATGACACACTATGGCCACCAGGCCTGCGCTAGGCACCTTCATGCCTCTTCTCATTTGAACCCTCACATGCCCTCTGAAGAAACTGAGGCACAGAGAGTCAGAGCTGCTTGCCCAAGTCCATGGGGTGTGAGTTGGTGCAGCTGGGGGCATTGAGTCTGCCCCCCCCCCCGTGCTGTTCCCTTCCCAAGCTCCCCCTGGTGCCCTGGAGTCCCAGGCCCAGGTGGGAAGCAAAGTTAGGGGTCAGCGAGGGCCACTCACCGGAAAATCACAGTGTAATAGAAGTCACTGACGGCGGTCAGGCAGGCGACGGCGCCCTGGGGAGCAAAGCGGGTCTTCACGAAAGGCCGAGGGTGGAACATGCTCAGGAGTCGGTGGATGATGACCTGGGGAGTGGAAATCAGGCTGGCTTGCTGGGCCCAGGAGAGAGGCCCATGGGATGTGTGGCAGGGGTGTGTCCAGAGGGGAGACAGGGGAGTTGGTCAGCAGGGCTTGCTGTGGGCATCCAGGTGCAGACAGGGAGGGGGCCCCCGGCTGGACCTGGATGGGGGTAAAGGGGCCTTAAGTCTCATCATGGCCTGCCCTTACCTCCTTGCCCTTGGGTGGCGGTGGGTAGAAGCGGTTGTTGGACAAGTAGCCAGTGAAGACGTTCAGCTCGCTGGGGATGATCCACCAGGGCTCGCCCAGCTCCACGTGGCCCCGAGGGGGCAGGAAGGGCCGGAAGTGGCGAGCAGCGAACACTGCACTTGGTGAGGCTGCAGTGGTCCAGTTGCGGAGGCCAGACAGGGCCAGGCGGGAGACCTGAGGAAGGGGAGACCTGAAGCTTGAGGACTTAGCAACCACAACTTCAGGGTCCTGGCCCATGAACAGGAGTGTGCAGTTAGACTCCACCCTGAAGTACTTCAGAAGAAAGTCTTGATGATCTGAAAACTCAGAAACTGAAAACCTTATGAAGCACAGTTCTACTCTGACACACATGGGCTCGCCATGAGTTAGCACTGAGTGGACAGCAACCCATGGTGGTGGTGGTGGTGGTGCTGTTGCTGTTGCTGCAGCCCGAGAGTGGGCAGAGTCTCGGGAATGGGCAGAGAGGGAGCCCCGGGAGTCTCCTGCCGACTGAGGCCCTCATGCTTGGCACTGAGCCTGGGCTCACACACCCCTCCTCTGCCCTAGCCCTCTGACTGCTTCTGCTTCTTCCCAGTCAGAATGCTCCTGGGCTGCTCATGTCCCCGCCTGTCCCCTTGGCATAAGCCCGAAGACTAAGACTGAGTCTGGGTGCCATGGCCCCTCCCTGGCTTCCTCACTCTGCTCCCAGCTTCACATTCTATAGAGGCTGACAGTCCCACCATGGAGGCTAGAATTTGGGTTTGGAGCTAAGTCTGACTGAAGGAGAGGTGAAATCTCTAGAGTGAAGAGGCAGGGGAAGGCCACCTGTGAGAGAGCCTGTGCATCCAGTGCACTTGTGGCAAGAGGCTCCGGAGACCTCTTCCTCATCCATAGCACCTGTTCTGTCTGATGAGTTAACAGGCAGCAGAGGATGTGCATCAGAGACTGGCAGGGCCATCCATACCTCACCCTGGGCAGAGGTGGGACCCTGGAATGAGCAGGGTCCTTTTTCAACAGCTCCACTCTCAGAAGCTGTCCTGCCCTCTTAGGGTGCAGGCAGGAGCCGGTTCCCATGAGGCATCAGCCCCCAGACAGTGCGTACCTGATCTCCTCAGGGGAGCGGCCCCCAGGGATCCACCCCAGAATTTCTAGCGGCAGGCTCCCTCGCCTTTTCCACCTCCATGGCAGCTGCAGCCCCAGGCTCAGTGGGAAGTGGGAGGCGGCTGGAAAGAAGTGCCAGGAGCTCCCACTGCGAGGGATTTCACAGGCAGCTTCTCAGAGCAGGGCTGGCTGTGCAGGACCAGGCAGCAGCTGCCCACCCACTGGGCCCTGCTCACAGCTGGCCACCCCATGGAGGGAGCTGCTGGAAAAGGGAGCCAGGCTCTGTGGGGCTTTGCTCCTGTCCTCTCCCCATGTAAGCACAGGTGTACCCAGGCATCTGCCCCAACCCCCACTCTGCTCACTGCTCTGTGGGGAACTCATCTGCTCCCTCAGCTTTAACCACCACTCTGGGTCCATCACCACCCAACCCATCACCATCCCCAGAGCCTTCTGCGGATGGTCAAACCTGTTTCCAGCCACTTGCTAGACCCTCCACCTGGATGTCCCCCAGGTACCTCAACTTCAACATGCTCAAATTGATCTCATTCTCTTTTCACACCTGCTGCCCCCGCTGGTCCCCATGTACCTGGTTATCAGCCAGATGCCCAGAACCACCCTATCTCCTCCCACCTACTTTCCATCAGTAGCCTCACCCCACCCCTTCCTTCCTTGCCCATCATCCCAATGCCCTTCAGCTCCATCACTGCTGCCAGCCCCAAGCCTGCTGCCGCCACCTCCTCCCCACTCCCAGGAACTGCCCTTCCTGGCTCCAGACTCCTTCCCCTCCCATCTCTCCCCAGCACCCCACTCCCCCCATGCCAGCTACCAGCCTGGGAAGCACAGATCCAATGAGGGGACTCGCCTACTTCAGAGCCGGCCATACTTTCTCACTCTGCAGAAGCCAGCTCAAGGTCCAGCAACCAAGGCCCTTTGCGGTTGGCCAACTTCCCTTCCAGCTCCATTGGCTAGATACCCACCCCCCACATATGTCCCACCTGCCCTGGATCCAGTCCTAATTGACTAGACCTGGTACTTTCTACCTTCAGGCTTGTGTTCATGCTGAACCCACATCTCAGCTGAGATGTAAAGGCTGAGTAGGTGTGCACTGGCAAACACAATGCTGTTCCTGACAGACAAGGAATAGCATATGAGAAGGCTCGTAGCTGGAAGGAAGTGAGGTGATTTGGAAGAAAGGAGGGCTGGGGTTGCTCAGGTCCTGTGATAGGTGTGAGACCTTGTCCAAGGGCCTTGGGAAGGTTTTGGGGCTGGTAAAGATCAGATCCTCTACCTCCCACGTGAAGAGGGAGCAGAGGGGCTGCCTTCTCAGGAGCCCTCCCAACCTTTAGCCCACTGCCAGGTGCTGACCCTCCCTCCGGTCTAGAGGCATGAGAAATGGGCCTTGTTGCCAAGAAGCTCATGGCGTGGGGAGAGAGAGGGGCTTGCAGAAAGGACTCACTCCAATCTGGGAGGCAGCTGCTTTCATAGGTGCTCTCCTGCCTTGCTGTTCCCTCCCTGCTGTCACCAGGCTAAGGCCCCTCATCCTTCAGTCTCTGTGGTTGTCACTCCCTCAAGACAACATCCCAGCCCCAACACCCCGCACCCTGCACCCCAGTTAGAGGCCCGTGCTTCTCTCCTGCTCCACAATTAGATTGTGTGCTGGGAGCAAGGACAGCATCGTTCCACTTCTGGACCCACAGGACCAGGCACAGTGGACACTCAATGGACAGCTGATGATAGAAGGAAGAAAGAAGGAAAGATGGGAGGTAGAGAGGGAAGAACAGATGGACTGAGTGCAGACTGGTCCTCAGGAGGTGAGTATACCCCAGTAATCCAATAATCCAGGCTGCTGTTTGTGTCCTGGCCAAGGGGGCCCTGTCTTGTCCCAACTTACCCCCAGGAATCCATCTTTGCTCTTGGTCATTGTCTCTGGGAGCAGAGGCTGGAATCGGGCCTCTATGGTGAGTGTCTCCTCACTGGGGTCGAGGGGCAGCTCCTCATCCTCGTAGCTGGTGGCAGGAGTTGACCCTAAGAGACACAGATCGCTGGAGGGGCCCTGCCCTCAGGCTGCAGGGCCTTGTTTCTGGGTGCCCACACTGGCCTAGTGATTAAGGATGGCAGGCTCAGAGTAGGGTGGAATTAACAATCACCAAAGTGATTGTGATACATTAAAATGTGTATCACATTTTAGTTTCACAATAGCCTTGTGAGGGAGATAATAACATTACTGTCAACTCTGGTTCACGCATGAGAAAGTGGAGGCTCAGAGAGGTAAAGTGACTTTCCCAAGGTCATACAGCTAGGTAGTAGGGGAGTCAGGATTCAAACCTAGGCCTATTTAATTCTAAACTCATATTCAACCACGACCCTCTACTGGGGAAGTGTAAGCTCTCAAGGCCTCAATGTTTTCACAGGCTCTGAGTCAGACTGCCCTGAATTCAAATCCCAGCCCTACCACTCACTGGCTGTGTGACTGTTGGCTATGGCTTGTTATGAGGATTAAATGAGATAATCTATGTAAAGAATTTAGCTCTGGGCCTGTACAGAGTAAGCCCATAACTTATCTATCTATAAAACAAACAAACAAACAAAAACAAACTCACTGCCATGGAGTTGATTCCAACTCATGGCAACCCCCTTTCGGTGGTAAATCTTTATGGAAGTAGATTTCCCAGTCTTCCTTCCATGGAGTGGCTGGTGGATTTGAACTGCCAACCTTCTGGTTTGCAATCAAATGCCTTAGGCACTATGCCACCAAAGCTCCATGTACATACATATATATCCTTTTTATTGTGATTTGGGTGAAAGTTTAATAGCAAATTGGTTTTCTGTTCAACAGTTTGGGAGCTCTGGTGGCATAGTGCCTAAGGCATTTGACTGCCACCAGCCACTCCTCAGAAGGAAGGCTGGGCAATCTACTTCCATAGTGATACCGTCTTGGAAACCCAAGGAGGGGTCGTCATGAGTCGGGACCGACTTGATGGCACATAACAACAACTGTCTAGGACCTTCTACTGTGATCCCTTTCAAAGCAGTCAACAGTGGCAGCCAGGAACCATTTAGTTCTTCTGGTCTCAGGGTTGTGAAGACTAGGTTTCATGTGGTCCATTAGTCGTTTAGACTAATTGTTTCCATGCAACTTTGCTTTTCTTCACTCTTCTTTGCTCCAGACAAGGACCATAATAAACTTGAGCTGTCTTACAATTAACAGAGGTTTCAGGGTCAGGGAATCACAGAGCTGGGGCTCAAACCTAATTCTTCTGACTCCAACCTGGGTTCTTCCTACCAGGCCTGGCGGGGTACAGAAAAAAAAAACAAAAAAAAACCAAACTCACTGCCTTCGAGTCAAACCCGACTCATAGCGACCCCTCCTTGGGTTTCTGAGGCAGTATCACTATGGAAGTACATTGCTCAATCTTCCTTCCAAGGAGTGGCTGGTGGGTTTGAACCACCAGCCTTCTGGTTAGCAGTCAAATGCCTTAAGCACTATGGCACCAGAGCTCCCAGAAAGGCTATTCCCAATTGTTCCCATTCCCTCTGCTCTCCCAACCAAGCCTGTGATAAGCAGTGCTGGGCCTAGCAAATGCAGCATCCATGGCTCCCAGCTGCTGGGACCCCAAGCACCAGACAGAAGCTGCTTTCTGGGGGCATATTGCTGAGAATGCATTGGGTCAGACATCATCTGCTCAGCCCCTGGCTGACGGTGGCTCCATTTCCTGGGCTCTTTGGGACAAGCTGGGGTTCCCTGGGTAAAGAGTTAAGCACTCAACTAATAGCCGATAGGTTGGTGGTTTAAACCAGCCCTGGGGGGCTTGGGCAGACGGGCCTGGGAATCTGCTTCTGAAAGGTCACAGCCTTGAGGCCCCAGGGAGCACGCACAGCTCTACTCTGATACGAGGTCTCCATGGGTCGGAACTGCTGACAACTAACAGCAGTTGGGACGAATCATTTAGCTTCTCTGCTTTTTGTATATGAAAAACAGACAATACTATCATTCCTGTCCCTGTCATGGGGACCTGGTGAAGAAATAAATGCTGCTCAGAGAGGAACTCAGTCAAGGGATTCAAAGTAATGAAGGCTCCAAGAGACAGATTCAGGCCGTCTCTGGTGGTACAGAGAGAGTGCTGATTCTGGAACAAGGAGACCTGCTTCTCCCTGGTTTCATGGGTGCCTTCGGGCTGCACCTTCCTCACCAGGGCCATTTCCCCATCTGTACAGGGAAGGCTTGGACTTGATTTTGATTTCTCAGATCTCTTCCTGCTCAGACATCTGCCAACTCTGTGACCTTTCGGGTATAGAGGGAATAGCTATGAAGGCATAGAGGCCTCTTTCAAAAGCATGGAGCCCCTAGATACAGATAAGAGAATAAAGCAGGGGTGAGTCTGTCATGTCTCCTCTCCCAGGGCCAGCACAGTTTGTGATACAGAGACGATAACTTGGTGTTTGTTGATTGATTGACTGACTGCCTGAATGAATGCATTAAAAGCATTCTTCACCGGAAGTCACCAGAATCACCCAGAATGCCCTTTTAAATGACAGGCATCCAGACTCCACCTCAGACCTATGAAAACCAGAACCTTAAGGGCCTAGAAGGAGGACATTGTGCTTTTAATTAGCTCTCCCCAGAGGCTCCAAAGCAAATCCCTGTTTTAAAGAATCACTGTTATTTCTGCATTTGTAAGTCAATGTGGAGAAACTTTCTGAAACAGCTTCCAGGAAACCTCAGAGGAAGGGAGCAGTAAGGACAGGGCAGGGAGATTAGTCTGCCTTGCATGTTCAGTTATTTTATTGTTACCACAAGTAATTATCAATAAGGATACCCAGCATTTTACAGTCCTTTGTTTTTTTTAATAAAAACGTTACTTCCTGATTTATAAGTAATATTTGCTCATTGTAGACTTTCTGTAAAATTTTTAAAGTGTAACAGAAAATTTAAAACACTCATAACTACGAACTGGTCTCTGTTTCCTGCTTGGATTTGATTTTTTTTTTAAGCCTTTTGATTTCCCAGCACTTGGCCCTGTTTTGCACTCACAATGGCCTTGGAGGTAATAGAGGGAGGGATTATTGTCCCCTGTTGGAGAAAAAGATTTATGAGAAAAAAATTAAAAGTGGTCTCAAGCCCAGCAAGTTCTGCCAATCATTATGAGGGAGCTCTTGCTCTCTGACAACAAAAAAAGGACAAGGAAGTAGCCTGGGTGGATGTGTGGAGAAATGTTCACAAAATAACACGAAGACGTAAAACCAAGTCCACAAGGGGATCACCTGTTTACTCGGCTGTCTGCTTTCATGACAGAACTTACTGCCCCCAAGAGCCACTGACACACATCTGCTCCAGCCAATTAGCATTTTCCACTTGACATTCCTCCTCTGGTAGTGACAGTGGGTCACCGGGCCAGCAGGCGGTTGACCTACCTGACTTAGAGCCTGAAACACAGAAAGCCCATCACGGCTTTCTTGTATTTTCACGCGGCCTAGGGCAGCTGGAGTGTCTCGTTTTTTGCCTTTCCCACCTACTGACTTACACGCTCCAGGCAATTTGGGTAACAAGCAGGTGCCCGAGATCATCACTTCAAGAAATGTCACAAGCAGTTACAGGGAAATGACCCTTCAGGCCTGGAACTGAACTCACTCCTGTGGCTTCCAGCTAAACAACTGACTGGCATAGAGGATGAACATTTACACCAGGTAGATACACTCCCCAGAATGAACAATCATGGGGGAACCAAAAACCAAACTCAATGCCATCAAGTTGATTCTGATTCATAGTGGCCCCCTTTGGGTTCCCGAAGCAGTAAATCTTTATGGAAGGAGATTGCCCTATCTCCCTTCTGTGGAGTGGCTGGTGGGTTTGAACCGCCAACCTTCTGGTTAGCAGTCAAATGCCGTAGGCACTGTGCCACCAGAGCTCCTTCAGGGGAGAACAGAAGGGCAGTACCTACACAGGGAGACAGCTCAGGGGGCAGGACTATATAGGAAAGAAGGACACAGTGAAGAGGTAACTATGGGGAGGAAGCAGGAAGAGAGCTGTTACATTGTGGGGAATTACAGTCAATGTCATGAAACAAAATGTGTATGAACTGCTGTATGGAAATAAATTTTCTCTGTAAACTTTCACCCAAATCACAATAAAAATTGGAGAAAAAAAAATGTTACAGGGAAATGGAGGCAGAGTTTGGGGTGGGGGTGAGGGGTCATGAGAAAAGCATTTTATAATTTATTAGAATGTTTCAGGTCCTCATCTTTGAAAAAAAAAATGGCTGATTGCATCCAGGCAAAAAGAGATAGCAAGAGTATGATGGGAATCTGACAGCAGCTAAGCAGACTTTAATACTCAGTCATAATAGTAATTGTCATCATGTGTGGTTGAGTCAATTCTGACTCATAGTGGCCCCACATGACAAAGCAGAACTGCTCCAAAGGATTTTCTGGGAGCTCTGGTAGCATAGTGCCTAAGGCACTTGACTGCAAGCCAGAAGGCTGGCGGTTCAAACCCACCAGCCACTCCTGGGAGGGAAGGTTGGGCAAACTACTTCTGTAGTGATACTGCCTCGGAAACCCAAGGAGGGGTTGCTATGAGTTGGAGCCAACTCGATGGCAGTTGTGGTCTTTGTTTTTTTTTTTTTTTTTTGGTCATCTTTTTGGAAGCAGATCACCTGGTCTTTTTCCCATAGAACTGCTAGGTGGCTTTGAACCGCCAACTTTTCAGTTAGTAGCCAAGTGCTTAATCCTCAAAACTGTAAGCTGGTGCAGGACCTTGGAACTAGATCCCTCCAGTTCTAATTCTGGCCCTACACTTCTCTAGCTTGGGCAAGTTCGTTAACTTCTTGGGCCTCAGTGTCCCAAACTATAACAACAGGGGTCATGAGAGTGTCCATCTCCCAGGGCTAACGTGAAGATTAAAGAAGTAACACACAGAAGGTGCTTCAAAGGAAATCTGGCCCCAAGAAGGTGGCCGAGGAATGTGAACAGCATTCCTCTTCTCAGGGGATAGAAACAGAGAGGGGGCTCAAACAGTGTGTCCAAGCTCCCAGCTAGAAAGTGGCAGCGCCCGGGGGAGCCCAGAGCCACCAAACCCCATAATCTTTCCAGGCTGCTGCTTCTCCTTAGTTGTTGAAGACGCAGCTGCCCAGAGGCTGAGAGAAGTGCCTTGGGCTCCTCGTTCCCCAGCCTCTCCTGATACCTGTCAGCTTCTCAGCAATGGGTTTGAACTCCTCAGGGCTGATGTACATATCCCGGTCAGTGTCCAAGGAGGAGAAGAGGAAGAGGCCTTCGGTCCCCAGAGCCTTCAGTGCTGATTCCTGCTTGGAGGGAGGCCATGCCTGAGCACCAGTCAGATTCCCATCTCCCTGACCCCCAAATGGCCGGTTGCTTCCAACCCCAGGTGAGAGCTGTTGGTGAGGCACCCTCAACCATCTTCCTGAGGTCTCTCAATACCTCCTAGTCCTTTCATCCAAATGTCATCTCTGAATTGCCCTCAGAGTGCCCCCATCCCCCTCTCAGTCCCTCCTGGTCCCTGCTTCACTCTGGGCTTTCATCCACTGTCCACTCTCTAAGTGCCCCCTCCTGTCTCCCATCCTCTCCAGTCTCCCTTCTAGCCAGGCCACACCGTTTTTTTCCCCACAGTCCTCTCCTGCACCCCTGCCTCCAGCTCCCTAGTAACCCTTCAAGACTCTCCTGGTGCCAACTTCACTCTAGGCTTTCAGCTGCTGGCCACTGTTCAAGTCACCCCTCTGTACTGGGCCCTCCAGACCTCACACTGGGCCAGTCCTGTCACTTTCATCCCTCTGTCCTTCCAACTCTGTTGTCCTCTGTCTCAAGTCAGTCCCAGTTTCCTTGTCCCTTCCTTTCCCCTATCAGCCTCCAGGGCCTACACATACCTTGGAAGTGGAGCCCCTAATTGCCCAACCCACATAACAGCTCTCTCCCACTTGCTCACTGGCTGGTCTCCTTCCCATCCTCGGACAGTCGGGCTCTGCGCCAACCTTCCACCCCCTGCAGGCCCTCTCCTTGCGCCCACGATGTCCCTCTCTGAGCCCCTGGCTGGACCTTCCATCCCTCGCCCTTGTTCCCACCCCAACGCCATCCATCCTGCCGAAACTCCCATCCCGCGCCCACCCGCTGGCCCACCC